GAAGCATCGTAAAATATTCCTGAATATCAAGCTGGTCATGTAGTGCACAGTTTCTGCGTGTGGTACCAGCAGTGATGTTTTGTCAAGTAGCTAGCGTCCCTTACCCCGGATTTTATGGGTTGGGACTTGCCTGGTTAACCGAAGACCGTTTTTTTGTCACTATTGCATTGTGGGTAGCATTTGCAATGGTGGACTACTGTTTGTTTACCGGAGACTTTTGATGATTAGAGTGCCCTGACAGTCTTTTCTTGGTCCCACAAAGCGGATAACTATCCCAGTGATGATGGACGTGTCATTCACGGTAAGAGTGATTATGTCGAGTTTTGTCAGCCAGCCGAGAGAAACAGTTTACCAAGGGTGTCAGACAGAATTACCGAGAACCCTTTCACTTTAACGTTGGTTATTCGGTTCTTTGCTTAAGCCCTCAGTTCAGAGGTCACTGCAGCTATGTAAGGACTGTCCGTAGGCATCGATGTTACTACCTTCGTCTCCCTTACGAACATTCCTGGGGTCACTGGTCTTTTTACCTCTGCCATTCCATCAACTTTACGAATGTTCCCGTAGATTGACGATCCCATGCATTGCATCTACTAACTTTCTCACTCCATCTGGCGGACCAGCACTTCATTTGGCGAACCATACATTCCTGCGATCACTGATTATACAACCTTCATTACTCTGTGTACAATGTGAACATTCCTGTAGATTGACTGACAATCTTCATGCCACAAACCTCCTACATTCAGCACTTCTTCAGTACTGTCATGGTAGCTTGGATAATCGAACGTATCCAATCTCAGGAGAGATTCCTTCTTCAGTGGAAATAGTTGCTACTCCTGATGTCAGCTCAAGCCCCAACGTACAGAGGCCATCTCCAACTTCGGCCGATACAGTGATTCTAAGCCCGTATTTCGAGGCTGACAATTGAACCCAAAGGAATTGATCCACCTTCCTGAACCGCTTCGTCCAGTTCTTCAGTGGTGGCTCAACGAACAGAATGTCTGCGCTGGAGTTTTTTCTTGGTACCCCTAACGCTCTCGCAACCCAGGACTCTTTGTCAGTGGCAAGAACTTCTGGGTCTGTTGACGTCAGCTCAAGCTTTGACTCTCAGGGGATAGCTTCAACTATGGCATCTCCAATATTTTCTGTGTCCACAAATAAGGATCGGTGACCCTCACGCATTGATCTCTCTTCCTCCAGCGCTCCATCCCCATGTCCAGTGGTGGTTAGACATGCTGAATGTTTGCGGCAGAGTCTCTTTAAGGCTGTTTGCTCCAGTACACCACCTGTACTTAGACGCCCCTCTACATGGGTAGGGAGCTCACCTTTTCGATCAGCAGATGACAGGGCTGTGGTCTTCCACAGACCCCGCACATGTCACATCAACGTTTTGGAGCTCAGGGCAGTGATTCTTGCGATCACTCATTGGCAACACCTGTTACAATCAGCCAAGCTTTTGATTTGATCGGACAATGCTGCAGTCGTGTGGCACATCAATCGAATGGGGTCCACGGGGTCTCCTCAACTTCTTCAGTGGACACAACAGGTTTTCTACTTAGTGGACTCTCTCAACATCACATCCCAGGGGTGAAAAACGTCATTGCAGATTCTCTGTCCCGTCCGGTTTAACCATCCCCGACGGGGTGGGAACGGCATCCGCAAGTGTTCAAGACTTTGTGCCTTCCGATGTCAAACCCCACAGTGGATCTGTTTGCTTCCCGCTTCAATCACCAGCTTCCAATGTTCATGTCCCAGATCCCGGATCCTTTGGCCTGGGAACACGACGCTCTAGCCGTCCCCTAGCGTATGCGTTTCAACCAGTGGCACTACTTCCACGCATACTGCTCAAGTTACGCACGATGCAGCAGATGACACTGATTTTGGTCGCACCTTTTTGGCCAGCCAGAAGTTGGTTCCTAGACCTGCAAGGCATGACCGATCCAAATCCAGTACCACTTCCTGATCGCGCCGGTCTTCGGGTTCATCCTCACTCCGATCAGCTGCATTAGTCTCCGCTCACGCTCCATCTTCACGCCAGGCGCATTTACATAATCGCTAACTGCAAAGGGATATTTCAAGCGAGTTCCTACAACGATTACCACGGCACTCAGAACTTCCACCAGGTCACTCTATGATGACAATGAAAGAATTTTGAAGCGTACTGTAAGGCGAACGGATATTGTATCTTCCACTACAGCATCGCCGCAGATAGTCGGGGAGTACCTCCAGCATCCAGCAACTTCCAAGAAATTGAAGGGTTTTACCTTGTCTACGTACCTGACCACACTTAACACAGTTATTGCGCCGGCTACCAGTATGAAGGTGTCAACTGTCCCTGAGCTCCAGTCTCTCCTCAGATCTTACAAAGTTGCTGATCAATCCCTGAAGTTCCGGCCACCAGCCAAGGACCTTTCCATGGTTTTTAGCCATCTCACGTCAGAGGAATATGAACCTCTGGCGGAGAAGGATTTCGAGCATGTCACGTTTAAGACTTTCTTCCTCCTGGCTCTTGCGACTGCTGCCTGCATCTCCGAGCTTCATGCACTGGATGTCACCCGATTGCGCTTTGAGAGGACCAGACATGCCAAAGTCTTTCCTGGTTTGAGGTGGGATCTCGTCACTGAAAACCAGTTGCCAGGACAGCCGAACAGATCTTACAAAGTTGCTGATCAATCCCGGAAGTTCAGATCTTACAAAGTTGCTGATCAATCCCGGAAGTTCCGGCTACCAGCCAAGGACCTTTCCATGGTTTTTAGCCATCTCACGTCAGAGGAATATGAACCTCTGGCGGAGAAGGATTTCGAGCATGTCACGTTTAAGACTTTCTTCCTCCTGGCTCTTGCGACTGCTGCCCGCATCTCCGAGCTTCATGCACTGGATGTCACCCGGTTGCGCTTTGAGAGGACCAGACATGCCAAAGTCTTTCCTGGTTTGAGGTGGGATCTCGTCACTGAAAACCAGTTGCCTTGACAGCCGGACAGACTATTCGCCTTTCTGCCGCTGTCTACTATTCTGGGCCCTGACGACACTGAGGATCACTCCTATTAAGCTGCCTCCAAGGACCGTTGTAGGTTACGCAAGAGACTGTTTATTTCTCTGTCAACTGCCTCACCTACAGAGGTCTCTTGTACCACACTGGCATTCTGGATGAGATCCACCTACGCCTACGCTGACCTTCCTCCTACTATGACCAACCCTCATGAGACGAGAGCCTTGGCCTCTATGATGGTGCTACACAGAAACTTTTCCCTTCGCGCCATCAGGGGGGGTGTTTGTGGAGATTGGACATGGTCTTCACCTCACCCTACCTCTGGGATCCGTCTGTCACTGACGTGGAAGGTCTTCACCAACTGGGTCCATTGGTTCTGGCGCAGCAGTTGTTGTCGGCTCGTAAACGCAGATAAGCTGCAGTTCCTACCTATGTGTCGGTCTTGCATTCTCTATATCAATGAAAGATATCAATCCTATCTTTTTTATTGGTATGGATTATATTTGGACATAGACCACCTCACCTAGGGAACTAGGGCGTGTCTGCACTGTCATACCCATGACTCGATAGACTGAGAAGCCAGTCTTGTGCTACATGCAGAGGTGGTGAACACTCTGCTTACTGACCTCTACTCTCTGAGCCATTACGTCAGTGAAGTGTTGATTTTCCAGTTACGTAAATGGTTTTTGAAGCGTTCCGCTCCTAAGTCCTTTCTCACCTTTGGTAAGTTAGAGGGATTGGTACTGAACGATAAATGAGTTGAGCAACCGCACCGTTCACCCTTTCACCGCCTTCCAGCTTGTGTCTGTGGGGGATGGTTTCGAAGCAGGGGCTGTCCAGATTAAGGTCTTCAACTTTAATTCACTGGGGCCACTTGATAAATCGCGGGGAGGCGAGGTCTACTTGCCAAACTGCGTCCTTTTGCTTGTCAAAAGTTGCGGCTGAAAACCACATTTATTCAGGACCGCCCACTCCCTAGAGTTTTTGTGCTGTGTAAGCAAAGCGGTTATCAGAAGCAACCCATCACAAGTTTGGAGTCAGCATATCGGGAGTTGGTGCTTTCTCCTGGCCTCCTTGTGTTATGCGACCTCATGGTTGTAGAATTGACACAGGGTAATCTGCGGCCCACCTTCCAACCGTGGGATAATGCATACCGGGAGATAGGATAAGTTTAAATATTTGAAATTTTAACTATAAATTGTATATTTATATACTTATCCTTTCTCACATGGATTCCAACCCGAACTGCCCCACATCACAGATTACATGGAAGCTCCAAGATCAGAATGACAGCTAGGGGACGTCACATGATCATCTGAGCTCACTGCAGGCCTATAGAGATGATTGACAGGTCATGCTATTGGAGTGGGGGCAGAGGTCAGGTGGTACAGAGGGCAAGAAGTTTTTATTCAACTTAGCCTACAGCACGTTTCCACATATGGGTCGAAGAAGAAGAGAGAGGTGCATACTGTGAGATACCATGAGATAGGATAAGTATATAAATTTACAATTTACAGTTAAAATTTCAAAAATTTAAGTTAATTCAGCTGCATATTGTCCCATTTATGCGACACACTTTTGCAGTGTAAAAAAAAGTATGGACAAAAATTTTACTAGTAAAGTGACACCTCATTCCTTTCATTGCTTGCCAAAAGAAGCCAGCTCACAAAATTTGATGAAAATCTAAGACCCTATGCATAAATGGATTAAGTTCTGACATTCAAGACGTATGTTGTGTCATTGCTAAACACTGATCATGGTACCAAGTTTGATCTTTGCCAATTTACTTGTACTTGTTCTTCAGGGGATAAACAATGTAACAACTTGGTTCTGGTTCTGTGCCATAACTGTGGATCTTTCAGTATATCTTGTTGGTTTAATAACAATTATTATTCAGCCCTTTGATCAGCATTTCAGTTATATCACATCAAAGGGCAATTAATATAAAGATAGAAACAAAACACATGAAATGAAACCATCACCTTTTCATGTATTATGTCTTTCTTTACAGGTCAAGTTCTTCTGCTGCTACAACTGCTTTTGCTGCGGCCACAGCAGGACTAGCAAGTTGTCCAGTTAGTTCAGCAGCTGATGACCAAAAGGGTATCAGCAGATACCTTAGTGTAGTATCAGGTAATGTTTTTGCAAACTAATTTCCATACATTTGTGAAATATATAACTGTTACATGATGAGGACCCTTTTCACATATTTGATTTTATTTCCCTGTTGGAAATTCAAATTAGCAAGGCTTTTTGATGAAGTTCAGATTGGCCACTGGTATCGTTCGTGTGACTAAGATTTAAAGCTCATGTCCACACAGTGATCTCTGCAGTGATTTCATGATTGATCGCAGCTATGACTTTGGGCAAACGCACGACCCATTCCGTCGATCGTTTATCGGGCGTGACCATTTCTCACGGGTACTAGTGTCTGAACAAACGCTCGGCTAAGGTGAAGTTAAACCTCTTGACGATGGCTTGGCTGCAATAGGCCCTGCTATTCCGCGCCTGACATTGACCTGTGTGCTTAGCTAGCAGCTGTGACACAGATCCCATGAACTTGCGTCCAGGATCGCTGTTAACGGCTCGGCTCGACATCCACGACGGTCAGGGCATACTTGTACGTTTTGTGTTTCACCCTGTCGTGCAGGAGAAACAAGAAGTCGACTTGATGCACTCGATTGGACGTCGAGAGATCAAACTTTCTCCTCGGGACGTGCTTGTTTCTTCAACCAAGCCTTCGTGGTCTCTTCAGAGACCTTTGCGACTTTGGTGATCTTGCGGATGGTGTCTGTGCCTTTCCAGTATTCCCGTAGGCTGTAGTAAATGTTTTCCATTATATCGTTTTATTCAAGTAGTATGAGAGATAGCAGTTCTATTACATGGTCCCTCTATAAGGCTTATTTTTTAAAAATAAGGCTTCTTTAAAATGCTGAACATTGGTTTATCCTATGTGGATATGACCTCAGTTTTGGGTGGTGATGATGATAAAAAACGGGTTCGAATCTTTAATAAGGGGGTAATACCGTGTTGTAAGGGACAATTTGTAATTCCTCCATGATGAACCCTCTCACTTTTAAGTAGTACAAGTTCGGTTCGCTGTCTTTGATGTAGACTCGGTCGACGTGGTACGTTTTCATGGACCATATCAGATCGGTGGCACGTTTTCTGCTGTCTCCCTCGTATTCACCCGGCTGGTACAGGTACCTAACACTGACAGGGTCCGGTAATGTTTTTTGCGATTGCCGTGCTGCTGCTGATTCAGCGGCGATGGATTTCATTTGGATGGCTTCGACGGGTCTCTTGCCCACGAGTCAGGTGACTTCATTGTTAATGGCATCCACCACTCGCGGCAAGAATACAACCCATTCCATATTTCTGTTTTGGGGATGGATTGAATCCTGCGAGTACTGGTGCGAAAACAAACGTTCGGCTAAGGTACAGTTGAATCTCTCGACGATGGTTGGCTGCGGTGGGCTCTGGCCATGCTGCGTCTGACCTGGTCTTCGTGCTTGGCCAGCAGCTGCGACACAGCTCCCATGAACTCGCGTCCAGGATCGACTTGCAAGACGGCAGGCCAGGTCAAGCAACTGCGTTTGTAGATGCGTTCTAAGGCTTTGGCGACTTCGTTCGAATCTTTGGTTGTCAACAGTTCCGCTTCTTTGTAGCGACTGGCGACGTCCACGGCGGTCAGGGCGTACTTGTAACAGGAGGTCGGCTTGATGAACATGATTCGGCGTCGAAATGTCAAATTTTCTTCTCGGGATGGTCTGAGGCACCGGCAGGTATACTTGCCAGAGAGCTTTTTTTCAAGCCAAGCGTTGGCTTTCTCTTTCGGAGACTCGAGCGGCTTTGGTGAGTTTCGGGATGGCGGCTGCACCTTTCCAGTATCCACGTGAGCTGTAATAGATTTTTTCCATGATTTATGTATTTAGGACATTTTTGACGGTGTCCGTACGCGTAAGTATTTACACCATCGATGGCGATCCATCGTTTGGTATCCATGGGCGACGACGTTTTGTTCGCCGTCAGTCCGTAGATCCTGTGTCCGTCGCTTCTCAAAGCATTCATTCTGGGTTTAAGCGTTTTTTTCTTGAACAGGGATTCCTTGCATCTAGTGTGCTTGAAGTATTTTTTAGCATGTGTTTTTTAATGCCTTTCGCCTTTTTTTTCCAGCTTTTTTAATGGAATAGATTTTGGGTCTTAACCCGATGTATTCTGCGATGGGTGTCCAAGCACATTCGTCTTTCATCTTGCTGAGGGCTTTTTGGTGGCTTGGTCGTGGATCGGGTGGTCTTTCGGATAGTCACTGGTGTCGTACAGGTGCATGTGTTTTGACATGTCTTTGTACAAGTCTTCGGTTTTGTATATTCAACAACAAGGAATTATAGGCGTAAACATTCCCTCTGGATTATGGTTGCCTTATTCCTGTGGATTTCACAGACACGTACAGAATGGAAATGAATTTTTTTAACTAAGTCATAGCTATCCCTAGTGGTATGCTTAAAAGAGTTATGCAGTTATCTCCCTTGGCTGTGACATCACAACGTAGTTGTTGAAAACCTCTCATAATTTTTCTGTATGGACAACACAGAAGACGTGTTTACAGAGTGGAAGTGTTTTTCAAAGTTTTCTTCAAATTTTCAAAAAACTACATGACTCCCGGTCAGTAGTGTCGCATTGGTTGATGTTGCTGACCATCGCATTCTATATTTTGTACATATTGCTTGCGTTTTATGCTACTTTATTGCACTCTACTTTTCCCGCCAAAAAGCATATGTCACAAGTGAGTATCTGCACGTGTTTTGTCTGTGCCTCGTGCTTCATGGGTCCTCCCTGCTCTATTTATAACGATGTTCATTGTGTCTTAGACTAACAACTAGTCTCTGAAATGAACATATTTTACTGAAAAAAAACACAAAAAAAAACGTTCATAGTAAAAAAATATATATATAATGAAAAGGAGCCCTGAGACTTTCTTCATTTTGAGATCATATTCTGGCTTGTGAATTCAGCAGATTGGTACAGACCCTGAAGCTGAGGAAATCTAGACTTGCCACATTTTCTAGACTTGCGTGGGCTTTCTTGGATATATTTGCTTCAGGGTCTGTACGAGAGACTAACTGTGTCTATAACTTTCCCTGTAGTCCGTGTTCCCCATGGCGTTTCGACCCATGGCCACGGCTACTCAGTCTGTTGATCTGTCGGCGTCCACGGGACAAACACAGACACAGCTGGCTATCCATCCAACCGTGCGTGTGTATGTGTATGTGCGGCTGCTTGTACTAGCCCAGACTTCAGCTGGGTATATAGTGCAAGCCCACTGAGATACCATACTGCAGTGAAGCATGAATACCCCACTCGGACACATTATACTGACTCCGAGGTGCCCAGTCCTTGTTGTACCCATTAATGCCGAGCACCAGGCAGGGACCAACAAGTACCATATTTTAACGTCTTTTGGTATGGGATCGAACCCGCGACCTTCTGTTCTCCGGGCGGACGCTCTAACCACAACACTCCAGAGGTGGTTTCTACGCACTTGGGATACGGTGACACATTATGTTCCCCACGTCAGAAAGCCTCACCACCCGATCCCATTAATCACCTTTTACGACAAGTCGACGGGTCTCACGTGCCATCTCTTTGCTATCCTTCTCTGGTTAATGGCATTTGCAATTCTCACCTTAACTCCTGGTATAAGGGACTCGGGGGGGTTGTCGATCTCGTCTCCACTCGACAATCTGTTACGCTTGGCATTGTATAAGGTAGCTATAGATTTTCGTCATCGGAGCTTATTACTTCGTCTACTACTTTCCTCTTCACCAGTTACATTGCTACTGGGCCTTTAGTTCAGATAATCTAACTTGTTTTTTTATGCGCTGACTGCTCAGTGCTGCTTATATACCGGACCTGTCTTACTTCGTTTTGTTTGTCGTTATTAAACAATCAACATTTGTAATCTTAATGAAAGTTCCAAACTGACGTTGACTCACAAAACATGTCCATGACTCCTTCTCATATGACACTAGAGAGTCATTATGACTCCTACTTTTTTATGCCTACGACAAACTCTGAGTCAGAGAGTTGTCGCTCTCGTCTCCACTGGACAATCTGTTCCACTTGGCGTGGTACAAATGGATATATATTTTTTCATAATCTGGGTCTATTACTTTGTCTACTACTTCGGGTATTCACCCATTTCTTTGAAATCTACCTCCGGCCACGGCTTCCAAACAACCCGGTACAGTTGTTTAAAGTACTCTGTATCACATACAAGAGTCTAAATGGCATAGCACCGGAATATCTAATCGTTTAAGTGACTTGCCCCTTCAACCACCCAGACTACTGCGATCTGGAAGCAATTCTTATTGAATACTCCTTCTTACAGACTGCCTTGGCCTCTTATTGAGAATGCTCTTTCAGTGGTTGCGCGCCATCACTGTGGAATAGTCTGTTCCTCGCTATAAACTGTTTCCATGTTTTAATTGCGTTCAGGGGCGGTGGGGTAGCCTAATGGTTAAAGCGTTGGCTCGTCACGCCGAAGACCCGGGTTCGAATCCCCACATGGGCACAATGTGTGAAGCCCATTTCTGGTGTTCCCCCGCCGTGATGTTGCTGGAATATTGCTAAAAGCGGCGTAAAACCAAACTCAGTCAGTAATTGCGTTCAGATCACATCTTTCAACGCATCTCTTTCACTGTACTATTAACTCAAACCTCACTTTGTAGCTCTTGAGCATTCACTTTGTGGTTGGATTTCGCAATATGTACCTTTTCATTATTATTATTATTATTACTGAATTAGAAACACCACAGCTATTTTCGAGGCCACGGTTCAAAATCAATCCGCTGTCCCACGAGGCGACGGCAGTTCAGGCACATGAGTCGGACCAGGTGACGGCCAGGTGAATGAATCAGATAACGGGGATGACACATGCGTTTTCTTACCAGAATGCACTGTCAGCTGAGCGCTCCATGGGAGGCACGGGCAATATAACGTTAGGTTGGAAACAAGACTGATATCCAGTCACTGAATACAGGCAAGTGTGTTTATTCAAATTGCCTGTATATAACCCAGCAGGGTACATGGGTACCTGGTGGGATAAATCATGTGGCTATTCAATTTTCTCGCGCCTCTTGGCAGCATGGGTTATCAGGGGTAATAACAGGTAACATGTCACCACTTTGAGCATGTGCATTGTACCTGGAAAAGGCGTGTTATAGGGCACATTTATTGTTCTAACAAGTGCCTATTATCCCTCTGCTTTCTGACGGATCTTGGAAGGTGTATTCTGTCGTTAGTTTACTTTTTCATCATCCTCATCTCCCTAAACATGCTAATTGCATCTTCCGTTGGTCTACCTACTTCTGCCATGCTTTGCGACCTTGTGTTAAGCTGGGCCCCATCTCGCTTATAGCCACATATGCAAAGTGGCGCAAGTTCGCGAGTGCAAAGGGAGCCGGGAACCAGCTTGGGAACCAGCTTAGACCTTGTGTAAGCTACAATATAACGAATTATTTCATTGGCTGATAAATAGTATTTACTGCGGACTGAATGACACTGATTGGCCGAGAGCTAGTTAGGTTGTAGAGTGTTACGGGCGGACATGAGTTTAATCATGTATAATCAACGGCGCATTGATTAGTGATATCTTTTTCTTTGAAGGTACGTTTCTTTAGTCATATGACGCACCATTGGAGATGCGCTGTAAGAATTTTATGCACCATGTGGGACATTATTCTGTGATCTCGTGTCTGCGTTCACTGTACAACGTGGCTGAACAATTCAGTCACAATATTGTAAATACGAAGGCTTAGCATCCTCGGCTAGGGGTATTGATCTTATCAAGGTTGACATGGGCTTGTTTTTCCTCGCCAGTGCTTCATATTGATAGGGATTTCTCACACCTGTCCTCGAAATTATCCCGAACTTTCGTTCAAATTTAATTCACATCTCCCTAGTCCAAGGGAGTTTTAGGTTTTAGCCCATGCCTACTAGATCGATATCTTTTTATACGGCGGTTGCCTTGTCTTGGGAATCGGGTAGCTTCCTCACCCAGGTTTTGAGGATTATATGGAAATTAATCAAGATACCGTGGTGGTCATGTCAGCCCACGAGGGATGCTCGCCCACTCCTCTTTGGATGTCGTTTTTCAGGCAGTTTTCCGATGCCAATCACACTTGAGGGTTTGTGTTAGACCATTCGGCAGCAATAGTACCATCTCACCTCTTGACTGGAGATAAGAATCTTCCAGAACAATCCAATGAGGAAATTGTTTCACCAATCTCTGGATATTTTTCATTGTTCTGATATCGATCCTCCAATTTTTTATGTTGAGGGGAATTCAGATTTCTTAGCGGATTTCTATCTTTATCTTAGTGACGTTACGACACTGAAACACGGTCCTATGGTGGACTACAGATCAGCAATCATTTCTGTTTAGGATATACAAGGACTAGCAGCTCTACAAGCCGATTAATTCATTCCAGTTACGAATTTATTTATTTATTTATTTATTTTTTCAGCTCCTAGTCCTACAATCTTCCCCAAGTTGGCTTTATGTCTCATTCTGTAGTCCCTCCAGAAGTCTTCCAAACCTAAGTAGGAAATTCCTTGACATTTCTTCTCCTTCATAGGTGGGTTTTCTACTTGTCATTGCTACAGCTTCCAGTTCAAGAATACCAGAATGTTTTGCCATAGACTTTAGTCAATCACCTTTACAGGAGGCTATAGATGGCTGATTACTAATAATTACTAACAATACATGTAATTGTTCCTAATTGGTGTCTGTATACAAGAGTTCACACCTGTCGCCGTACTGTTGTTTTAATTCCTTATAGTAGAAACTGTACATTAAATATTTTTATAAGTCAAGGATGCTCATCCCGACGTAGACGGGCCGTTTGAGCCTGACGTGGCTTTTAGCCATGTGCAGTGCTACCAAGTCGTTATCGAAGATTTTACTTCGATTAAAGGCCGGGCTGGCTATTAATTTCCTTAGTTTTTCCTCCTGGTGTGATCTGATCCACGCGTTTTCACAAGTTTTCCATCGTCTTGCCGAACACGGAGTTGTTCATTAACTAATACAAGTTTTTTTCAAAATCGCTGGCTTTTTTTCTCAGATCCATGTTCAATCGAATATAGGGCTCCATCCAGGGCCTTTGATTGAATTGTAGAACTCGGTGTACTTTGGTCAGCTTCATCCCCAACAACAAGTACAGCTGCAGGTTGCGATAGTGTACGACGTACTTGGTCTTGTCCATCAAGTTGGGTATCAGTTTCTCGACGCTGGTCAGTTTGTTATCTCCCAGCAACGTCCATTGATATTCGGACACCCAGCCCAACTTCACCATCAACCATTCGGGGGCAAGCGGAGAGCTGTTGTGGGCAGCGTGAAGTTCCGCGGGGTACTCCAAATCCACTTCGAACAGGAATCCCATCTCGAAGTTTTCGGGGATAGCCATAATGTTCTTCGTATTAAAATTCTTGCTCTCTACCCACTCGAACCCGCCCGTTGGCAGATACTGGCTCATGGCCCAGCCGTACAGATTGTTGGTGTCGAGGTAAAGAATGTGATTGTGGTACCCAAGCATGATTGGCAATCTTAGTTTTCTCCTTGACATCTGACTTTTGATAGTTTGAATTTGGTGAACAATAAATGATGTTCTAACAATAAAATGACTTATCATTAAAAAAGAAGAACTTTAATATTTTAAGAGTTCCGGTTATCAGTTGGTGCACATTTCGTGAGAATAGGTGAGATGCATACATACTGTCATTAACTTCAACTGTCTTGGATTACAATGATCCCACTAAACTAAACCCTCAGTTCTTTTCTTGCTATGATGTAGTAGAGGTATGACATTTGGAGGAATTATCAAACAGTGTGCATAATTCTTAAAAAGTCATCTCAACTGCATCAGAATGTATTCCTTTCTGATTCTTTCTACCTGCATCTAATGGATGTAGTGAATGGAATAGAAGTGATCCTGTGTGCAGAAGCATGTTGGCTGATATCATTTCCCTTATAACTAGTTGGAATGGTGGAGACCAGATGAAAATCTGAGGATTATAATTAGTGTGATGACTACACAATGACTATTAGAAAGCAGTCAAATATAAGGACTGTAACATTAATTTTGTCATTACTATCTGGTGACTCTGGTGACTCTGTGTGATTTCATTCTGGATACTGCCCTAAGTTATTCAGTCGTGTCATCCCTGGTTGTAAGGCAGTGACTTCAGTTACAAATGAATGCAAGTACATGTAAAAGTTTTGTGTTTGTTTTCATATTTTTGTGTGATCTGGAAATACTGAACTTTATGTGGAAAGAAGGTAACTGATAATGATTTTGATGATCAGCTGGTTGGGATGAGTCAGTAATCTGAAATGTTTCATAAGTAGTCAGAACATAAAAGACTGACTGACTGACTGAGTTTGGTTTTACGCCCGCTTTTAGCAATATTCCAGCAACATCACGGCGGGGGACACCAGAAATGGGCTTCACACATTGTACCCATGTGGGGAATCGAACCCGGGTCTTCGGCGTGACGGGCCAACGCTTTAACCATTAGGCTACCCCACCGCCCCAGAACATAAAAGAAGTGTATCAAAGTGTATTGCTTTCCTAATAAGTAATTTCCATTCACGTGATTGTCATATTTTTTTAAACTACAGATTATTCATCAGCTGAAAATAAATATAGTGTTATAAGCATGATATACAGTTTGTGTAAGCTTTTGCTTGATAAATACTGAAATTATTATGTAGACAACACATCATCAAGATTCTTCAAGCAAACATATGGTATGTGCTTTACTACTCAAAATTTGCTATGGATAATGTTTTGATGATATTAAAAAAAACATCCAACCAGTTCATATTGGAATATTCCAGACCTAAATTTCAAGAGGTGTGGCCACATTTTGAGTTAGGAAGGATCATGTCAACTGGACAGACATAACTGAGTGCCTGTACCTTTTAGTGAAGAATTGAGATACTGTCTATAGATTTACAGATTGTTGTGCCCTCGTGTGGCCAAGACAAGGAGAAAACTTTACGGATTCCAATATTGCTGAGAGATCTGGGATTTGATCTGGGATTAGATCAGTAGAGCTGGAAGAACATGTCCAACAGCAGGGCACAGTGATGTGTGTGCAGAGATGACTTTCTGGTTGTGTACATGGACTGTATTCTGTTATAATCACACTCAACTTCATCCTCATGGATGATAACTCATGACCTCATCATTCCACAGTTGTTGATGCCTAATGGAGCACTAGACAACTGTCTGCATGGATTGACCAGTCTGCTCCTACACCCTGTTGAACACATGTGGAATGAGCTGCAGATTGCCATGTCACGAATTTGTGATTTTTTTCAAGTTTTAGTTTTGGTGGATACATATATTTTGACAGGTGTTCTGAGTGAAAGAATATTGGTCACATTATGGCTATTTCAACATGAAGACACAATTTGATGTACTACTTTTTAAAGCAGTGTTCATTCCAAATCTTTGAGTTGTATATCAATTTTACAATTATATGTTCCTTTTGGTTGCATATGTTTAAAAGTTCAGTAACTAAATACAATCTGATTTTTTCCACCATGTCTTTCTGTATGTATCATCGTTAAATATACATTAATTCTTCTTTGCAGGTGTTGATCTTCATTCCCCTAAAAAAGCGGGAATCTGTAATTTTTACAGCTGCCACCATGCGAGTTCTCAATGTGCTGAAACACTGGGTTTCAAAACATCAACAGGTAAATGAAGTACATGTTCTATGTCCCTTCTTAAATCATAAAGATAAACATCAATATTGTACAGACTATAATATAATTCAGAAGTCCCTGGATCAATGCTTAATGTGTTTGCTTGAATTTGCTACTTCTGCTTAACCATATGCTTGTCGTGACAGATGTTACCTGTATCATACTGATATTAATACTTTTCTGATATATATGTAGATGGCAATGAGGGTGAAGTTCACTCGGTATGAACTTGACTTACATACATGATAACTTGAGTATTTATAAATGTAAGTTTCACATGGCATCAAAGAGAGTGCCCAGCTAACAAAATTACGTTGTGAGGACCTTGTTACAACGTTACGTTTACGTCCGCAGAACGTCAGCATATAACGTCTCCGTAACGTCCCTTGTGTGGAGTCGAAAACACGTCCTCACAACGTTATTTCGAACGTTCATACGACCAAAAAATAACGTCCTCAGAACGTCATAAACATTATGTTGTAACAACGTTATCTATAGTTTATGGGTAATATATCCAGGGCTAAAAGTTATATTTTTCCTTGTTTATTGATATTTTAGAATTAAATTCACTATTCAGAAAAAAGGTCAAGTGATTATCAACAATTCTAAAAATTATTTCGGCAATTATAAATGTGTCAACAAGTCCGTTAGTAGTATATACAATAGCGGTACGAGATCACTTCCAAGAAAAGACTCTGTAAAGCTTTATTTATGAAATAAAGCTTTTGTCAGGCCCTTATCTCTCTCCGCTAGTGTGTATACCACTGTTTGAATCCCCAGCCAACTTCCTGGTCACTATGACCGCGAACCAACACTTCCTGGTTATGTGACACTATTGGGATCACTCGTCAAGGTAAGTGTTAAATATTTTGAATCACTACTTGGGGGGTAACATTGTGCCATGGGGTATGATCAATAATTCCTCTCTGACGAAACCTCTCGGTGGCCCATCTTTCAAATAGTACAAGTTTGGTTCGTCGCCTTTGATGTCCACTTTATCTATGTTGTAAGTTTTGATCGACCATGTCGGATCGGTGGCTCGTTTCCGAGTGTCTCCTTCATGTTCTCCCGGCGGATAGAGGTATCTCACGAGAACCCGGTCGGGTATCTGTTTCTCCTTCCCACGCGATGGTGCAGACGGTTCGGCCGTCACTGATTTCAGTTTCATAGCGTCGGCCGGTTTCTTGCTGGTGAGCCGAGTGGTTTCGTGTTTGATAGCCGACACCACTTGAGGTAGCCGCGCTACCCATTCCGTCGATCGTCTCCCTGGTTTGGCCATCTCTCTTGCACACTGATGCCCGAATAAGCGCTCGGCCAAAGTCCTATTGAATCTCTCGACTATGGCTTGGCTGCGATGAGCCCAAGCCGCACCACGCCTGACTTGGACGCCGTGCTTGGCTAGCAGTTGTGACACGGCACCCATGAACTCCTGTCCGGGATCGACTTGCAGCTCTGTGGGCCATGTCAGCGGGCTGCGCTTGTATATGCGTTCGAATCTGCGGGCTACCTGGACCGAGTCTTTCGCGGTTAAGGGTTCTGCTTCTTTGTAGCGGCTGGCCACGTCCACGACGGTCAGGGCATACTTGTACCTCTTGTCGTGGGGTACGAACAGTAGGTCGGCCTGGTGGATGCTATTGGGCACGGCAATACCAAACTTTCTTCTAGGCATGTAGCGTGGTGCCGGTAGGTAGATCTGCCACAGAGCTTGTTTTTCAAGCCACGCTTTGGCCTCGTCCGGGGTACTCTCAACATTTTGGCAAGCTTATGTATGGCGCTTGCTCCTTTCCAGTACCCACGCGGGATAGAGTAAATAGCCTCAAACTTTCTCTGGTTCCGTGACATCGTATACATACGGATATGTCTTTGGTTCAATTTTCTCATGCCCGTATGCGTACGTGTTGATTCCATCGGCAGCTATCCAACGCTTCGTGTCCACATCGGTGACGTCTTGTTTATCGTCAGTCCGTATATCCTGTGTCCTTCGCTTCTCAGCGTGTTCATCTGATGCTTGAAGGTGCGGGCTCTGAACAGGGCCTCCTTGTACCTGGCGTTTTTTATGTGTTGTTTCACCACGTTCTTCTTGACACCCTTCGCCTTCCGGATCTCGCTATTGTCGGCTTTCAGGATGGAGTACATCTTGGGCCTCAAACCTATGTACTCCGCTATGGGCGTGCCAGCACACTCGTCCTTCATCTTACCGAGGACCTTTTTGTTAACCGTGCTGTGCATGGCATGGCCCTTGGGGTAGTTGCTGGTGTCGTACAGGTTTATGTGCTTCTTCATGTCCTCGTACACGTCTTCGGTTCGAATCTCCATCAGTAGGGAGTCTGTGTCCGTGTACAGCACCTCGCACCTGTCACCGTACTGTTTCTTGAGCTCGTTGTAGTAAAAGTCGTACATCAGGTGCTTGGAGAGGTCGAGGATGCTCATCCCAGCGTAGATGGGCCAGTTGAACTTGATGTGGCTCTTCCTCATGCGCAGGGCCACCAGATCGTCGGTGAATATCTTGCTCCGGTTGAATACCAGGCTGGCTATCAGTCTCCTGAGCTTGTCTTCCTCTTTCGACCGGACCAGCTTCACGGTCACGTGTTTCCTCAGGTTCTCCATCGTCTTACTGAACACCGAGTTGTTCATGAGCTTTTAGAGGTTCTTCTCGAAGTCACTGATGGCCAGCTTTCACAGGTCCGTGTTCATTCTGATGTAGGGCTCCATCCAGGGGCTCTGGTCGAACTTGAGCACCCTATGAATGTTAGTCAGCCTCATACCCAGCGGCAGGTACAGCTGCAGGTTGCGATAGTGAACGATGTACTTGGTGTTGTTCATCAAGTTGGGTACGAGTTTTATACGTTGGCTAGCTTATTCTTCCCCACCCTCCGTTGGTAGTCGGACATCCAGTCCGGGTTCACCATCAACCGTTCGGGAGCCAGGGGGTAGCCGTTGTGTGACTTGTGTAATGCTGCTGGGTACTCCAAGTCCACTTCAAGTATGTAACCTGCCCCCGAATCTGGGGGTATGCTCATGACATCTATCTCAGGCACCCATTCGAACCCCCCGGTGGGTAGATACTGGCTCATGGCCCAGCCGTACAGGTTGTTGGCGTCGAGATAGAGGAGATGATTGGTGGGTTTGCTAGAGTCGTAGCCCTTCATGTACTGATTGTTGGCTCTCGCCTACCGTTTGGCAGCCATGGAGATCCCGCCTTGCAATCCTTCCTCGATGAACAGGTGCATGTTGTAATCGGTGAGGAGTTCCAGCTTAACTCCGGTCTTTTTCAGCAAGGCATCCCAAGAGAGACCGGGGCTGGTGTAGTACCACGCGGGGTCGAGTTGATACTGCTTGAAACACGTCTTTCTGAACGTCTCGAACACGTCAGCCAGCAGGAGTACGTCCGTTCTCAAGTACAGGTCGTGGTAATCACCTAGGGTCCTGCAGCCCAGTTTCTCCCACACGTTCTGGGCGTGGTCGTAATCGCCCTGGGGGATGGCTGAGTCGGTCAAGTTGCTGTAAAATTCACTGATTGGGGATAGTTGGGTCTCGGCAAACTTGGCCCAGCTGTCCATGTACTTGTAGGGGTAAACACCCTTCCTCATCAGCAGGGGTCGAGTCTCGACGTCGGTGTATCGATCGGTGATGGGGAAGGTATCGTTGGCCTTGACCAAACTGTCGAGAGATGACAGCAGGAACTGAACTGAGTCTATGAACCTCAGGCCGTTCAGGGAGAAGGAGATGTATCTCTCCATGTTGTTGGGGATGCACGTCAGGTTGCCGTCGACCCTCGCGATGGCCTGCATGATCAAGTGAGAGTCGTACCCTCTCAAGTTGTGGAAGACCACAGGGATGTTGATTGTTTTGGGGTTGATTCTGAGCTTGAGGTTGCACGCGCTGTGAGCGGCGCCTCTGTACTCACCGGTGATGTGACAGTGATCTCTCACCGAATCACCGTTCAGTGGGCCGTCGCACACGTGGCATACGTGAGTGCTGTCGTGAGCTCGCCGGTCGGCTTGGGTCATACGCATGGGAACGACGGTGTACAACTTCTTCCTGATGGTTTTCTCTTCGTGCTGCAAGCACTTTAGAAACTTTTCAGCCGCGTCGGGACTCCTGTACACCACGGGAGCATTCGTTTCCCCATCGCATCGGACGACCACGTATCTGAACCCACAGGCCTTGTGCTCCTGCGTTTTGTGAGTGTTGGGAGCCGGCCCGATGTCAACGGGTTTGACCAAGGCTTCGAAGTCGGCATAGATGATGTAAGGTACGGACATCTGGTTCTTGTGGTTGTCAAATTTTAGGACATTGTTGCCTTCCTTGGGCATGTCAATTCGTACGGCCATCTGCCCCATGCCTAGGCAATCCTCCCGGTGTGATTCCAGCAGGTCGGCCCGGGTGAAGCCGTGCAGGCACCGTTCACAAAAGGTTTTTTTCCCATCGTATTTCGATTGGTCGTGCAACAGCCTGCTGAAGTGTTTTATCCACGCGTAGTACCACCTCGCTGTATCATGAATATATTAATCACGCGACGACGCTCCATTGGGCTGATCCTGTGCATGATCACTTTGATGCCTTCGTGCCCGAAGACGTTGATGGCTATGGGGTTCTGCTTCTCGATTCTGGTGACCTGGGATATGGGGGTGGGTTTGTCTATACCGTCCCAGTTGAGTCCGTTGTCTTGGGGATAGCTCGTAGGTCTGTTCGAATTAACGTCAGCCGGAAACAAGGCTGACCTGATTGCTAACCTCATGCAATCGTCTCCTCTGTTCTTGACGTTGACCATGGCTTGTTTTTTCTTGTAGTAGGGGGGTAAGTCTAGGTATGATCTGTAGTTAGCTACCGTCTCGGGTATAGTCACGACTTCTTGTTTACCCCGGAAGTAAGGCTGAACGTACTCAATGGCACCATCCGTCTGCTGTTTATCAAGCGACATCTTTGCCGTTATTTGAAACTTGAGACTTCCCAGGTTGTTCAGTTCCTCATTAACTTTGTCAGCGATC